TTTTTTGAAATCAATTTTAAATATATACATTTTATATTACTTTATAGAATATTAACTCAAAGGTTTGCTAATATAATGTATATACAACCTATTCTTAAGATATTTAAAGGTTTTGAAATAAATTAAATGAGCAGTACAGTGAGTTATCCTAATTTTGATTTTTTATTCGGCACTCGTTCATAATTTATTATAATGCGCGGTAAAGTTTTCGGGGATTATTTGACGTTCCAACAAATCATTTCAAGTTTTATATACGGCACATATACATGATTTTTCATTTATCTGAAATCATCGCCGAGGAAATCTTTTTTTCTATTATATTACTAATACGCACATCCGGATATTGCCAAAGAATTTCAAGTTAACGTAGTAAATAATTTTGTAACAATTCGAGTCTTAATAATAAATTTATTTGTCATTCCCGTTAAATGAGAATTGTATAAAGACACGAAAGTTCTTATCTGCAAAGGATATCACGGCTATTATGCGAAGCAAGGCAAAAAAAAAAAAGGTTTGGTCCTGCACATCCTAGAGGCGGCGAAACGTTTCGCTCATTTAGCACAGTTTTCGGTCGTGTCACGTAATCAATTGTTTATGTTTCCTTGAGATTAATAAGGGAGGCGTAAAATTTTATTTTTTTTTATTCCCTAAATAAATGATAACACAATTCGCATTTAACTTTAAAGATACCTAATCTGGTTTTTTTATTAATTACCGAAATTTATTAAAAGGATTCGAATCGGATGATTCGGATGATTCGGATGATTCGGATGTTTTCCGGACGAGGTTTCCCGAGTCTTTTTCTGTACACATGTACGTAAAGGAATTAAATTAAAATATTATAGGAACCAAACAAAGGAAACAAAGAAACTCGATACGAAAATATCCGGTGATTTTTGATTGATGATCAAAATTGGCTGATCGTATTGAAGCGTTTTAACTTTAAATAGGAAGAACTATCAAAAATAGGTAGTTGAAAAGAAATGAATTTATATAAAAAAATGGACAACGAATATGTACCATTACGGTGTATTTCGCTATGTACGTAAAACAAAGACTTTGTCAAAGGAATTTTCTTAAAACTTCACATGTTAAATATTAAAGTGAAATAGAGATTTTTTATTTTATTGCGTTTTTTTTATTTACAGGAAATTTATTTTAATATTCATTTTGACTTATTATTTAATTTTAATTTTTTTTTTTTTTTGTCTGAAATTATGAAAAAAGAATGTTGAGTTAATAATAATCAAATGAGGGAATGAATGAATGATTTTTTTTTCTTATCTGGAGAAGTTTGCGGATTCTATTAATATATCACATACAGTATATAGAAAGAAAAGAAAGAAAAGGAAAGATAATCATCTTGAAAAAACCAGCGCAAAATTGTCCAAACAAGCTATTTTTTTTTTTTTTTTTTCAATTTACAAATAATATTTAAAGGTTTGAACTGAAAAGAAACAATTTTGTAATTTATACAAAGGTAATGCGGGTTAACACGAGTTTTCAAATAAAAATCGCGTTGTTTAAAAAAAATTCTAATATGTACAAGAAAAAAAAAAGAGGGGTTATAAATATTGTGTGCGTGAGTGTAAGAGTGCAAATTGTTGTGTGATGGAATATTGTGCATGGATTATGGTAATTGTATTGTTGTTTTGTGAGAGAGTTGATTGTTCACTTTTTCGTCGCCCAGAATCGATATCCGACACTATACGCTTTGAATTCAATCAATTCTTGATGCCAAGCCTCAACCAATTTATCATACTCGTCAGTTTCGAGTTCAAGTATAGATGAAAATCTTGCTCTAAATGTTCGGAATAATTGACCTATAAAACGTTTAATTTTCCTTTTTAGAATCTGAGTATGATAAAATTTTTTTTTAATAAAAAAAAAAAAAAAAAAAACTAGTTACCCTACCTGTATTATTTGCCAACAAGGTCCCAACTCTACCAGCCCATTTTCCAAATTGGGCCGTGACTTCTTCCTTTTTGATGTCGGTGAGACGTTCTGTGGCACCCAACAAATCTGTCATGTGTGAATATGCTGTAACATCGATATGTCTCGACTTTAGGTCCGATAAAACTAGAAAGCAAAAAAAAAAAGAAAAAAAGAAAACAGAGAATGTTTCAATAAAATTTTTTAAAGTAAAATATTTTTTCATTTTTCATTTGTTTTTTTTTTAAAAAAAAAAAAGAAAAATTCAATGATAGTTACATGCGCTGAATAATAATCTTGATATAGGTCCATCATTCCTTGGTTCGATTTCATCTTCGACAATTTCGATAATGCCACCAACTTTAGCCACCCTGACAAGTTCATTGATTGCGATCACCCATTCACTCTTGCTGAATGCAGTGATCAAAAATCTCATATGTATGTAATCAAAAGAATCATTTTCAAATGGCAGTCCGTCCAGCAGATTCGCTTCCATGAAATTGACATTATCTGGTTTCGTTTCCCTGGGAAAAACTGGCGAAATATCCATCCCAGTAAAATGTGATCTTGGAAACTCGTTTGCCATCTCGATTAACCACGTTCCCGGTCCGCAACTGCATGATGCAAAGAAGAAACGAGATTAATGATTTAATAAAATAAAAAATCAAACGATTTTCAAATATTATATATTTATATTTACCCAACGTCCAAGACATGAGCACCACCGGCACCTAGCCTTTCTTTTACAGGTGCGGAATAATTTCGTTTCCATATGTATCGACATATATAGTGTTGAAAGTGTAATCGGTCCAGTTCATCGTCATCACAAGGGAGCAAATATTTCGAATTTCCCACGTTATGAAACCTTCTACCGCCAATGAATCGGTACCCATCATTACTTCCATAGTCGAGAATGTCGCCAGAGATCAAGTGGGTGTCGGATAACGGAGATCCCACGGAAGAAGGTTGCAAGCGACGTCGAGATTTTCGTAACTTTGACTTTGGTTTACAAAAACAATTCCCCATATCAACAAATTTTTTTTTACAAAGTAAAAAGAAATTTAAATCTATCTATATAATAATTACGGTCCCTTATTTAAAAAAGAATTCTTTTTAATTTGAGTATTTCCCGAAATATTCAAGCTGTCGTTTATTCATCGCAGCCCAGGCAAGATGATAAAAGAAAAAAGAAAAAAGGATGATCCAGTCCTTGAATTTAACAAATTTTTATTTATATGAATAGTGTTTTGTTTAAGAATGATTTGAATGAGAATTTTTTTTAAAAAAATATACGACTAAATCGGGATTAAATGTTTACTTAATAAACTTATGTTCCTTGTTCTTTGTCTGTCTTATAATACAAAAAAAAAAAATTATTTTTAGATTGTCGGGCTTGTTTTTTGAGAAAAAAAAAAAAGGCTGAGTAAATTAATTATTCTTTTTTTTTTTTTTTTTTTCTCATCAAACGTTTAACCTAAAAGAAAAAAAAACAATTCCTTTATGGTTGAACGCCAGGGGAAAAAAAAGAAAAAGAAAAGAAAAAAAAAAATAGGATTTTAAAAAATAATGCAAACACCGTTCGAATATTTTTTTTATTTTTTTTTTAAAAAAAAAATTAAAGGTGGATTTTTGCAAACCAAAATATTTATACAATTACGTTAGGATGTAGATCGTCGTTATAAAATTGAACTTAATATAGTAATTTGAACCGATAATAAAATTTAATTTATAAATTATTTATACTTGTTTCCATTTTTTTTATTTATTTATTTTTTTTTTTAACATTGAATACATAAAGTTTATTATAAAAAAAAAAAAAAGATATTTATATTATGCACCATGCAATGATACAGGGTTGATTGTTACGGATATGGATGAAATGGGGTTTAAATCAATGTCTATCACAATTAAATCATCCAAATTTTTGACCCTTATCACAATTTTTAAAAAAAAAGCGCGGGAATCATAAATAATTTAACGATTATTACAAACAATTTTAAAGTTATATAAACAAACATTTATCCAAAGTGAAATGAACGTTTTTCCACTTGTACGACCTGATGATATCTTTTTTCCTTTCCATTTTTTTTTTAAAAAAAAAGGGAAATTAAACGGCTGAGGAAAGATTTGTTGTGCATTAAAAAGCTATCAAACGAGGAAAAAAAAATAGATGACATTAAAGAAAGGCAATGACAGATAACGAGACATAAACGTATACAAATGCCACATGGGGCATTAATTTTCCTATTTTTAATTCAATGACAGGACAGACCCGGTATTTTTTATACAACAGATACTAGGGGATATGGTAAGATTTACATGACACATATTTCATTACAAATTACAATGATTTCCTTTTTGCATTTATTCATTTGTCAATATCCGTTCCAAATAAATGATTTATCATCATTTATTTCTTTGATAAAAGTAACAATGATATAAAATCAGGTTTTGAAGCAATTAAACTCCGATTACGGAACGCATCTTGTGATTTAAATAACTTTAAGTTACTTGTATCGAAAATCTTCCCACCGTCGGTGCTGCCATGCATGAATTTTGTTTCCAATTTCATGCGCCAAAGGACATATTTTAAATGTGAACTATTTCATTAGATCAAAAAAAATTACTTCCGTATCCAGTTAAATAGAATAAAAAGAAAAAAATTTTAGTGTGGGTAAAAAGAGTTGGAAAAGAAACTACTTTAGCAATTTATCTGATTTAATTTTTTTGTTACGTCATTAACATGTTACCAAACAAACAAAAAAATCACGTCGATCGTTTTATTCGTCCTTTTTATGCGTTGCGTTTAAAGCACATATAGGCCGAAACTATAACCGACAAGTTAAAAAAAAATATTTAAATAAACCAACACTAAGTCGCATCACATGAACACTTTTCTAAATTTATTTTTAAGCAGTAGATTATGATTTAAAAGTGATTGGTTCATTTTGAACTTTTCCTTTTCCTTTTTCTCTTTTTTTTTTTTTTTCTTTTTTTTTTGAAAAAGGAATTAACTGTGAACTGGTGAAATTTGATTGGTATATGAAATGATAAAACATAAAAACATAAAACATAAATAAAGAATACCCTTTTTAATCAAGACAAAAAAAAAAGAGGAAATCCTTTTTGGGGAAAATAATTATGAACGCTTATAGAATACAGGATTCGGATATTTCTTGTGAAATCTTTCACAATGTTTTAAGGATATATTTTTTTTTCATGGGAATGCATGCACCTCAGATATTTGAGAATTAGCTTCTTCCTTAAAAATCACGTCAAAAAAATATATATATATATTAGTCACATTAATGAATAAATTTACGCGTGGCTAACCTTAGCCGGTGTAACCTTTAAACCTTTGTCATGGATGTATACGTTACACGAAGCTACCAAATTTAATTTTACACATTTGTAAATTACAGAATAAGCCCATTCTAACTTAGCTTGTCGACAATATGATATTTTTGATATTTTGATAAGGAATTTCTTAATTTCTTTCATCATTTAGTCCTGATATTTGAAATCGTTATTGTTCATCTTCAAAAAAAAAAAAAAAAAAAAATTGAATCAGAAATCCATAAAGGATTTAAATCCATGTTCAATTTCCTTTTTCTGCAATCAAATTCGGTAACCCAATTCAAATTATTTTTCAGGGAAAAAAAAAATTAACGATTTTTATTCAATCATGAAACAAGATATTCTAAGTATTCTACAATTTTGGAACACAACAAGTAGATTGAACTTTTAAAATAATTATGATTTAATGAACTTTCTTTTATAGGGACAATAGTAGGATTTTTCAATCAATTACCACCAAAATTGATTTTTGTCTTTAATGGATTTGATGGGTGTCTGTTTCCTATAAATATATTTGTCACACCTTGAGATAACAAGATAAAGAAAGGTTTATCACTAAAAAAATTATAAAATTAGAAAAACACCAAATCTTTTTAAAACATCAACCTCAGAGATTTAAAGTAGTCTCAAAAAGGTGGTTCGAATGACCACTTATCATCATCATCCCTTTTGCCGCACGATTTAAAAGGAAGACTTTTACAGTTAACTAACACATCATTGGCTGATTTAGTTTGGTGTACGGAGCTGCGGTTAATCGCACGCACTTTATATAATCATTCCAGGGATTATGGGAATTTCATCAAATCATGTGATTTAGGAAATTTGGTCCCCTTTCCCTTATACGTGATTGGTTTAATATCAAAAATTGTTTTTTATTTTCTAAATATTAATTTTTTACATAAAGAACATTATTAATTGTTTGTAGTTTTTTAATGTTTAATATAACAATCACAAAAATTTTATTCATAATAAATATAAAAACGCGTCTTGATACCATTATTTACGTTAGTTTGATGAAATGAAACGATTTTTGCATTTATCCATAAACGGCAGAAAAAGTAGCGAGGCACCGTAAATTTCTTAAATAAATGCACGAATATTCGTGCGGTATTGATAACAAATTGATATCTGAAACTTTCTTTACATGATTTGCTTGACCAAAGTATCAAAATTACACCATGAAATCATACGCTTCTCTTCCAAAATGGTTTGGTACGATCAAGTGTTGATATTACACCGTGGAATCTTTATACGTAAAAACTGATCTATCAATTAATCTTAAGAATATTTCTTTTATAATGACTTCGGCGAATTCCAAATTTGCAAATTCGTCAAAGGAGTGCAGTCGATCTGAAGACATGATCAGTTCCATTGATAAAGAGTTCCTTCACTTCTGAACATATTGCAAAAGTAAAAGAAATTCAAAAAATAATTTTTTTTTTTTTTTATTTTCATCGTCAGTCATGATCCTTTATTTGTTTAACTTTTCTTCAAAAGTTCATCCATGTTGATCATTTATTTTATAAATTATTACAATTATTATTAGATGCAGTGACTCCGAAAATCTTATTTCATTCTTTTATGGGTAAAATGGCTTAGATTTGAAACTTATTCTTTATCAGGGGAAACGAAATCCTTAACATTTTTAATAATTACCAAATATTCGTCACAGATTCTTTAAGATAAATGTTTGCCAATTAAAATCTCCTTGTGTAATAAACTTGAGCGATGAAATGGGCTGATTTATCATAATAAACAAGAATATTTAAATAGAATAAAGAAACTTTTATTTTTTTTTTTATAAAAAGAAGGGCCGCCACCCCTTGCTTTATGACGTGCTACATGAGCCTGAAAATCTAAAATTAAAATGAAAAAAAAAAAATAAATAAATAAACAGGACTCATACAACTCATATTCTCACATGCAAAAATTTAAATATTTACTTATAACCGCTAAATCGAAAAAAAAAAAAATTTTTTTGATTGCCATCCAACTAATTATGAAACTGAATTTTTCGCTGTGGAACATGACGCAAGATTTTCTTGAAACATTTTTCTCCAATTTATGAAATCCTTTTTAGGAATGAAACAATTATGATTAAAATTTTTGAACATTTTTTTGGCAGGATAAAATTTCAAGCGATGCATCAATAAAGATTTTCTTGTTTCAACCCCATAACCTCATGTTTCCATTATAAGGAATGTCACACACGACCCCATTAAATATTTTAAGGGTGTAACAAATTTTATAATTTAATTAATTATCAATACATCAAATTATTGATTTTTGACTTAAAATAGTGGATTAACTATTTATAAAGGAAAAAAAGATTTGGTTCAAAATTACTCGTAAAAGTGGCATGTTTTTTTTTTTTAAAAAAAAAAAAACAAACGAATGAAAATTTCAAATTTACAGTATTTCGGTTGAATAAATAACTTTAACCACAAAAAATGATTTGACAAAAGTATTTAATTATTTTAAATAATATTGACTTTGTCTTTAGTGTTTGATACTAAAGATAGGAAATTTGACAAAGTTAAAAATAATTGATCACATCCTTATAGTGATTGTAAGTAGAAATTTGTATTGGCAGCTTTTGAATTGTATTCTAATTAGTACTTAAGCTAAATATTAAAAGACAAAAACGTTTATAAAGACCTATCTGACGA